GAACAAACTAGCCTTTAGAAGAGTTAAAAATAAAAGGGTAATATATGAATATCAATATTATATAATGTTTATGAATAAACATATATTTTCATGTATATGCATATATAAATACAAATGTAGCAAATGTATAAAGCATTCAAGAAATGATAAATATCAAGTTCACCTCTAGTAAACAACCTAGATACTTCTAGAAGTGGTATAAGGTTAATTGAATCAAGAAGGCATACACAAGAGGTTTCTATACATCAGTAGAATTTTCTTTATTAAGCTGTATGGTAAATATATGGGTGGTCATTCTATTATTGTCTATATGCCTGAGATGCAATATTTTTAGAACATTTGAATATAGTTATTTAAAAAGAATTCTTGAGATATAGTTTCATATAGAAATTCACTCATTTGAAGTGTACAATTCAATGGTTTTTAGTATATTCAGAGTTGGCTATCACTACAATCTAATTTTAGAACCTACTACTCACCCCCGAAAGAAACCCCATATCCATTAGCATTCAATCACCATCCCTTCCTATGCCCCAACCTACTTTCTGTCTCTATACATTTACCTGTTCTAGGCAACTAATATAGATGGAATTATACAATATGTGTTCTTTTGCGTCTAGCTTCTTTCACATAGCATGTTTTTAAGGTTCATCCATGTCATAGCAGATATCAGTACATCACTCCTTGTGGCTGAATAACATTCCTCTGTATGGATATATCACATTTTGCTTATCCATTTATCAGTTGTTAGACATTTAGATTGTTTCTACTTTTTTTGATATTATGAATCATGCTGTTATAAACACTCATGTACAGGTCTTTGTGCGGAAATAATTTTACATTTCTTTTGGGCATCTATCTAGGAGTAAAATTTCTGGGCCTTACAGTAGCTCCATGTTTAAATTTTTGAGGAATCATCAGACTGCTTTCCAAAATGGCTTCATCATTTTACATTCCCACCAGCGGTTTGTGAGATTTCTTCACATTCTCAGCAGTACTTGTTATTGTCTTTTTAATTTTACTCATCCCAGTAGGTGTGAAGTGGTATCTCATTGTGGTTTTGATTTTCACTTCCCTAATGGCTAGTAACATTGGGCATCTTTTCATGTGCCATTGGCCATCTGTATATTCTTTATGGAGAAATATATATTCAAATCCTTTGTCTATTTTAATTGGGCTTCTTGTCTTTTGATTATCGAGTTGCAAGATTTATTTATGTATTCTGGATACAAATCCCTTTTCAAATGTATAATTTGCAAATCTTTACTCCTATTCTGAAGGCTGCCATTTCACTTTATCGGTGGTGTCTTTTGAAGCACGAAAGTTTTTAATTTTAATGAAGCCCAATTTATCTATTTTTTCTTTTGTTGCTCATGACTTTAGTGCCATGTCTAAGAAACCATTACCTAACCCAATATCACAGGAATTTACTCCTATGTTTTCTTCTAAGAGTTTTATATTTAGTTCTTACATTTGGGTCTATGATCCATTTTGAGTTAATTTTTATGTCTACTCTGAGGTAAGGATCAGAGTTCTTCCTTTTGCATGTGGATTCAGTTATCCCAGCACCATTTGTTGAAAATATTCTTTCCCAGCATAATCATTCTTTTAAAGAAAGAAGCTTTTTCTTTTTTCTGAAACTTTTTCTTGCACAGTCTTATTAGACTAGGACCCACCTTAATAACCTCATTTTAACTTGATCATCTGCAAAAACATTGTTTCCAAATACAGTCATATTTACAGATACTGAAGGTTAGGACATCAACGTCTTTGGGGAGGGTGTAACTCAACCCATAATAGTAAGTATGCATATCTTATAGAAATGTCGCTCTATTATATCATAAAAGGATGTACTATTAGAGACATAAGGTAAGGCCAATACCATCTGAATGGGGGTGGAGTCTCCACTAAAGAAAGTAGATACCACACCAATCAGTCATCCTTAAGGGTAAAAGATGAGAACAGAAAATGGGGTAGACAGGCCTGAGATGCGATTGAGAAGGAAACTTCTTCCTGTCTGAACCTTAACTTGAGCCTAAACTCTGGGGAACTGAGGCATGTTTGAGGTATTTCTGTGTAGTAGAGGATATCTGCCCTCTTCCTTAAGGGGGAAGAATGGCCTCTGAAAAAAAAAGGGAGTCCTATGGAGGCTCCAGGAGGACATAATAGAAACTGGGGGCTCTAAGAACAGCCATAGCTCATATCCAGTTGTAAGTTATTCTCTGTGTGGAAGTTCCTATGCAATCTCCAGCCATCAGCAAAGTCTTGTTAAACTTACAACCTGGTCTTATATTGGAGAAAAGGCTTGTGTTCATGCTTGGACTATAGTGCTAAAGGGAGGCAGAGGAATGGTGGTGAACACTCTGCCCACGAGTGTGTCCAAGGACCGAAAATTGCAGGTGACAGTTTATACTCACAATGTTTAAGTCACCTGCAGTAGCCCAGGCAAACACAGGAGTCCTTGTGAGAAACCCCCCAAGAACTCTCAGATCATACTCTGAGTGTAGAATAGCTATTGATGTGACCTCATTTGTACCAACT